AAGAATTTGATGAAGAAGTTTGTGATCATCAAACACCAGAAACTAATACTAAGATGAAAATAGCTTGGCGATACCAGTTGTTACCCAAGATGAAGACTGGACCAGTATCATCTTCAAGATTCGGTCACTATTATGATGTATCAAAAAGGATGCCACAAGAACTACTGGAGGCTTCAAATTGTCATGGATTTTTCCTTCCACAAAAAAATGTCTTCAAATCTTAAAGTAGAACCCTGTTCTTTGATTCATGGCTACACAAAGCTGCTTCAGTTCATCCAGAACACCATTTATGAGGAAGGATTTGATGGATCCAATCCCCAGAAAAAAACAGAAAAACATTTTAAGAATAGGAATTCAGAATCTTGGTTCACCTTTATGGGGAGATGACGTTTGCTGTACGGAAAACTGTAACAACAGTCACAGCCTTACCAAGTTCCTCTATGTTCTTCGAGGTCTTCTAAGAACCTCTCTGTCAGCCTGTATCATCACATCTTATCCAGAATAAAGCAATTATTTCCCGTGTTACAAACTTGTCAGATACAGTGGTTGGTCTGGAATCTTTTATTGGTTCTGAGAGAGAAACCAACCCATTATATAAAGATTATCATGGTTTGATTCATATTCGGCAAATTCCTCGGCTTAATGACTTGATTTGTGATGAATCAGATGTCAAAGACTTAGCTTTTAAATTAAAAAGGAAGCTATTCACCATTGAGCGACTACATTTGCCTCCAGACTTGTCAGGCACAGTGAGCCGCTCAAGCCAACAGGATCTGGCAGAATCCGCCAAGCTGCTGGGCCCAGGCTGTGGCATGATGGCCGGAGGCAAGAAGCACCTGGACTTCTAGGGATTCCTCCTTAGTCATTGCATGCAGAATTATATGACACTCTAATTATGATTGCTAATAGCTTATGTAAATATTTTTCTTAATGATTTGACCCTCCAGTTCTTAAAAAACACAGTGAAGATTTCAAAATGGGGCCACCATTCTCCTTTTTCTAACCAACTATTTGCACAGACATAATACAGTACAAATACTTCTATTTTGGAATTTTGTTTTTGCTATGTTCAGAGAAAATAGATCATTTATTTTTAATAAATGGGGGGAAGGTCAAAAAAATCAAAATACAGTGGTCATTAGGGTACTTGTGCTAAGGTACTTAGAATCATGGGAAAGCACATGTTACAGCAGGCAGCATGTGAAACATGAAATTCAAGTTGTATTCAAAAACATTTTGTCTTCTGAAAAAGTCACTTGCCCCCAAAAATGCTAAGGTTTTTTTGTTGTTGTTGGTGGTGGTGGTGTTTTGGTAAGAAAATTTCGTTTGCAAATCTATGAAATAAATTCACATTTATGTATCCTATTATTAAAATGATGAAGACAAAATAAAAAAAAAATCAACAGGGCTGGGGATGTGGCTCAGGGGTTAAGCACCCCTGGGCTCAATGTCCAGTGCCAAAAAAAAAAAAAAGAGAGAGAGAGAGAGAGAGAGACACATAAATATGAACAACACTGACCCCTGCTAAGGACATAGAAATCATGAGAATCACACATGGGTTCTGGGATCATTCAAGGGATGGGCATCATTCAAGGGGTGGAGGGACAGGGAGCAGATCACACAGGGTCCCCTCCCCAGAGACCCGGGTGCACTGACTTCTCACGCATGGTCACTTTGCCCAGATCTGACATGTCCCGTGTGCATGCGAAAGTTAAATGGACCCAGGGCCGATGTCCACTGTGACCAAATGTATTTTCTTCCCTTGATCTCTTTCGGCCTGGACGCTGACCGACTTGTTGGATCAAGAGGAAATACAACCTCGGCACCCATTCCTTGGGAGGACCTTCAAGAGAATGGGTCACAGCCAAGAGGATCCAAATCTGATCGTGTTGCTGGGCGTCCAGCTCAGAGATCCACCCAAGGAGGCCACCGTTTGAAAAGACATTGGCCAACCCGGGGAGGCAAAGACCTCAAAGACGAAAGCAAAGACTGACACGGTGTGACTATTTGAGAGGGATGGAGATGTGCTCATCACACACACACACACACACGCCCGCTACTCTGTCTTTGCTTAGTGATTTATAAGAGTTCTTTATATATGAAGGATGGTAGCCAAACTCTGCATTTTCCCACTTTGCATATCGATCTCTCTCTCCCTCCAGCTACGATCTACCATCTAACTATCTGAAGTACGTGTACCTACCTACCTATCGTCTGTCCATCATCCATCAATTCTACGTGGTTGTCACAACCTGGGTGGGGTTGCTCCTGGCTCCTGGTTTCAATGACCCGCCACCAACCGTGATCCCAAGCTATTCGGCGGAACATTCCAGAAAGAAACAATCGGCTGAGGCCCAGAGCAATGGAGCCACCAACCACGGACTAAGACCTGCCGAAACCACGAGCCAACTTAATAAACCTTTCGTCCCACATAATAAACCTGGATTTCCTCAGGTGTTTTGTTACAGCAACGTAAACTGACTAACACTGTGGTTCCCGACCACTCCTTAGGAAAGGACCAGACTTCCAATCCTGCCTCTGCCTCAGGGGGATCCCCCCGAGTTCTAGGTGGTTCCGATGGACTGAAAAATCCACATTGGAGACAGAAATGCTCATGGGCTCCTGGGAACCAACCTGCAAGGGGGGATTGAGAGGATGTCCTGGGTCCCCTGGGGCTCGGTGACCTTCACTGCATCGGGGTGCATGTGGAGTCCCCAGCTCTTACCTGAGCAGGCTAGACACCTCAGGGGTGATCAACACCACCAGCTTCCTTGACGTCTTGTGATTCCTCAAGGACAGTCCCAACACCAGGGCCCCCTGGCAGTACATATCGTTGGTGGCCAGCGTGACGAAGGCCTGTGTGGTCACTGGGGGTAGGACAAGAACATGAGGGTGACTCTCCCGAGAGATTCCCTGGGACATGGGTTCACAAGTGGGGCTTGAAGGCGATGAGGGATCATGAAGCTCTGACCTCACGGACCTTCCCACCTCCATTCCCTTCCGCCATGTTTTTTTCCTCCCTTGGAGCCAGTTGACCATGGAGTCCATCTTTGAAGCTATGAGCCCAAGAGGAGCCATTTAGCTCCTCTCAGGTCACTTAGTCACATCAGGGAAAAGCTGATAGAGACACTTTGGTGGAACCCAAGGTCCAGGGGACAGTTCTATCAATGGCCCCCGGTGCTGACCCCACAGCTTCCTTCCCAGAAGCCCTGGACCTGCAGCCCTGCCTGGCCTCCGGGCACAGCCTCCACCACCTTCCTCACACACCACCTGTGACCTGCGGGGGACATGCAGGCGGGAAGTCAAGTCCCTGAGAGGAGCCAGGGGACCCTGAAGGGGGGACTTCTGGGACCCTGACGCAGACCAGGTCCCGGGACCCAGGGGGACGAGGATCCTTCCTCCAACCCTAAAATCTGCAAGAACAGGTTCCACTGAGCACCAGGCAGCAGGGACCGGGGGACCCAGAGTGGCCATGGCCGTGGGGACTGGAGAGTCGGAGGTCACCCTGCTGTCCGTCCAAGTCAGGAGGGGACCTGGGCGGGGCTCTCTGGGGACTTCCAAGGGACCCCCATAAAACTGGAGGGCAGGAGGGGCGCACTGTCCCTGTCCTCTCTGAGAGGACCCCTCTGTCCCTTGAGAGTGTCCCCTCCCCACATCGGCTGGCTGCCAGCATTGATCTGGATATTTCCAAAGCACTGGGCCATCTATGATCGAGCAACACCAGAGGTTAGGACAGGAAGTGGCTTGAGCGCTGGTGGAAAGGGACCAAAGGACCCACCCGATGGACAGCCAGAGTCCAGGTGTCCCCTGCTGGACGGTCACAGATGGGATCCTCAGAATCCAACGCCCCCCCCATCCCCAGGAGAAAACTAAAAGTGGAATCGACTCTAAAGAAAGGGGAAGGTCCCCGAGAGAAAGTCCCCCCCACGTGGAAGAGGGATCCCCTAATTCCTCACGCACAACGTCACCCCTCAAATTCAGGCCCACCGAGAAGCCCCGCCCACGGGCAGGACTGACGTGGACAGTTGCTCAGCTAACGCACCCAGACGCAGAGCTGATGGGAACAGAAAGGTGCAGGAGAACTTGAATCCCAAACAGTGCGGGAAGGGGTGGGGGAAGGAAGGAGGGTTCCCAGAGGACCGGACGTCCCACGCGAGAGACATCCAAGGAACCAGTTGGGCACACGCCTGTCATCTTAGCAGCTCAGGAGGCTAAGGAGGGAGGATGGCAAGTTGGAGGCCAGCCTCTGGAACTTATCAAGGCCCTCAGCAACTCAGGGAGACCCTGTCTCTAAATAAAGTACAAAATAGGGCTGGGGACCGGACTCAGGGGTCAAGGGACCCCGAGTTCAATCCCTGTACTCCCCCCCAAAAAATACACACAAAAAGTCAGGAGTTGTTGATGTCCCTCTGATGCCCACCCCTTAGGCTGAGAGGAGGAAGATCGCTCCCAAAGTCCATGCTGCTAGACACAGAGGGGACACAGACCCAGAGGAGGAGCCCCGTGGAGACTGCAGTGAGGGGCCAGCCCAGGGCCACCTGGAGCCCAGGAGCTGGAGAGGCAGGAGGAGCCCCCTGGAGCCCTGGAGGGAGCTGGACACCATGGTAAGAGGTGGGTCCTGTCCACAGCTGGACCCCAGAACCTGGGAGTGGGACCTGGGGTGGGAACAGGGTCTCTGCAGAGGTCATTAGTGGAGGGTCCTGAGATGGGCTCCTCCTGGGTCAGGGGGCCCTCGTGCCATGGCCGTGTCCTCCCCAGAGACAGAGGAGGGGACACAGACCCAGAGGAGGAGCCCCGTGCAGACAGAGGCAGAGACTGCAGTGACAGGGCCACAATCTGCGTCCTTAGGTGCTGCCGTCCAATAGGGGACAGTAACCTGAGCCATGAACACTTTCAAAGCCACATGGACATCGACCCAGGAGGCGGCTAAAGGCTGAAAACCAGTAGAACTTACCGCAGCTCCCAACACCTGATTGGCAGACGCCAATCCAGAGACCCCCTCCCACCCAAGAACGCGGGGACGGGCCGTGTGTCCGCCCCATCGTCCATTCCCACCCCAACTCCGAGACGGGTTTCAAAGCCCAGAGAAATCGGGGCCCCCACCCCGTGACTCACTGAGCCAAACATCACCTCTAATTGCAAAGCCACAAAAGTCCCCCAGATAATTTTTCTCTCCTGTCTCCAACAGAAACTAGATTAAAAAATAACCCGGGAGGGACGAGGCCACCCTAGGCAGACGAGTGTCCCAGCAAAGTAGAGACGGGGATCGCAGGCTGGATGTGGGGTCCCGCAAGAGACAGCGCTCCATGGAGCCCAGGGACAGGGTGGTGGGAAGACAGAGGCCCAGAGAAACCGGGTAAGAAGGGGGCACCCAGAATTTCTCTTTGGCTTTAGTTATTTTCCCCCCCATCAGTGACATCAAAGGACCTGACAAGAAGGAGAAGTTGACCTGGGGCTCATGGTGTCCAAGGTCCAGTCCCTGGTGGCCGACTCCCTGGCTCTGACCCAAGGGGAGCAGAACAAGATGGCGGCAGGGCCTGGAGGAGGAGAGCAGCTCAGGACAGGGCACCAGGGAGCAGAGAGAGCTCTGCTCACCAGGGACAGGACAGAGACCCCAAAGGCACAGCCCAGGGACCCCCTCCTCCAGCCACACCCCACCTGCTGCAG